CAGCCCCCAGAGCCTGGCGGGGGGGGGACGGGGGACGGACGACACACGGAACACGGGGCCGGAGACCCTCCAGCCCCCCCAGGCGAGGTCAATAAAAGCCCTTTGGCATTCCCTGCCCATCCCAAAGGCTTCAGGGTTGGGGTAGAGAAGGATGTACACGGCTGCGCCCCAGCCCCGCTCCCCCCAGACCGGAGAGGGGGGGGTCCATGGCCCCCCCCAGCCAGGGTGGGGGGCACTGAGAGTGCAGCTCTCCCCAAATCCTTGCAGACAAGGGGAGGAGAAAGCCCCAGGGATGGGCAGAACCGACCGGAGGGACGGGAGAGCAGCCGGAGCCACTCAGGGCCAGCAGAGAAGCTTCAGCCCACCAGTGCAGCGAGTGTGTCCGTTCTCTGCCCTTCTGCTCTCCATGGATGGTCTTCTCAATGAAAGGGGTCTCCAAGCCCCCTTGGAGGGCAGTGTCCAGCCAAGCTGGATGGTCCCACGCCGTGGTCCCAGGCACATGTCATGTCCCTCCTGGCCTGGCTCCGCGCCCGAGCCCTTGCCAGGCGGTGGGGAGCTGCCTCGGGTCCCAGCCGAAGGGACAGGGACAAAAAAGGGGCCACCTCCACCCAGTCAGTCTTGCAAGAGGTGGACGAAACTGGCAGGGAAGACTCCGGTGCGGGAGCCGTCACCCGAAGCCGACCTGGAGGTGCAGAGAGGGGAGGAGGGGGCAGGAGAGGTGGGAGTCCCATCTCAGGCTGCTTCTTCTCGGAGAAGCAGCTTTGGGGCCGATATCCCAATTCCCAGAGGGATTTAGAGCGGCAAAGCCGCGGGTGACACAGCAGCGGGAGCCCTCCCCAGCCCTCCCCCATGCACAGACGGGGCAGGGGACACCCATCCATGCTATCCCCCCTCTTCTTGGGGGGGAGGGAGAGCAGGCTGGGGAGGGGGGGAAGGAGGAGGAACCTGGGTTAGGACCGCAGGTGACACTCACCCAGCTCTGCTCGTCCTCCTCCCGCGTCACCACGATCACCTCCCCCTTCGAGAAGGTCAGCTCCCGCGCTTTGTCCCCCTTGCAGTCAGCCACCGCCTTCACCCTCTTCTGCCTCCCCTTGGCGGGGGGGTGAAGACACCCCCAAGGGGTGTCCCTCCATCCACCGCCCCGGGATAAGGGGAGCTGAGATGCTCGGCAGCGCAGAGGGTGATCCCCCCCCCACCGCCACCACCTCATCGCAGCCCCTCTGAGACCCCCACCCCACCCCATCCCGCTGAGCGGTGGCACCTACCGGCG